CAAAACACTACTTTTTTTAAAACCTACCCCATACCTTTTTCCCCGACCCTTTGCCTATGTTTCTTTTTGCCCATTATCCTCCAATAGCTGTTTATTCTTACCCTAATGCCCCCCCTTTTTTGTTTATAAACCTTTCCCTCCCCTTTTTCCCTGATGCTTCAAATTCCCCTTTGATCCCATTACCTTTTACTCTCGTGTAGTACAACAGAAAGTATCTGATAAAATCTGGGGCCCCCTCTAAAAACCCATGTAATCCTAAAATTTTAAATTTCAAAGTTTTTTTATCAAACCAAAATTAAAATTAATTTCCAAAAAAAACTATTTGTCATTTCCCCCCTACTTCATTTCTTGTTACTTTTTTATCCTCTTTTTTTTAAAATATGTATTCCTATAACTAAACCCCTTTCTATACAAAGTTCAATCAAAGGGTTTCCCAAATATCATTTACACCTGGCCCCCCCAAACTTACCTCCCACACCCTCTCTAAAAGTTCTCCTATTTTAGATTCAGGTCCCCCTCCCCACAATTACTCCTCCTTGGTTCAAAGGCTCCTATACATTCACTTAAACATTTCCCAAAATCTCTCTCTCTCCTCTAAAATTCCCCCTTTTCTCCAGGGCATACACGCTTATTATGACCCATTTTCCCGCACCCAAACCCTTTTCCTTTAAACCCAACAAATTTTCTTGAATTTAACATTCATATTCTCTTTTCTTTTCCCCATAACTGATCATTAACATTATTTGTTTAACCCCTTTTCCTTTTTCTCAACTCTCCCCCGATACTCCAGTTTAACCCCATTTTTTTTCCCCCCCTGAAACTCCCCTACCCCCTTCAGTTTGTTTCGCTTGGGGCCCGGAATCCAACTTCTTTTCTTTCATAACATCAGCAATCATCTGTTTCTTGTCATCCGCATACATCCACGCACATTTAAGCACCCCAGTTTTTTAAAGTTTTTCTTTTCTCTTTTTTAGTAAATGTCTACAGGAGGGGGGTTTACTACCCATTGCCCCCCGGCATTTTGGGTCGCCTCATACGACACGCAGGGTTTTTCCCGGGGGGGAAAGATTTTTTTCCATTTCCCCCATGGACAATAAAAGGGAAATAAAAAAGAACAAGAGTTTTTTAAAAAAGGGAAAAAAAAAACCCTGGGATGTATTTATATATATATGATGTGAAATGTCTGTGAAGTGGGGCCAAAAAGTGTAAGTAGGAGTAGCAAGAATCCCGTTATTAGCAGGTTTTTGAACGGGAAAAAAAAAACCAGCAACCCTTTCCATCATCCCAAAACTTTACGGGTTACTATAACTAGAGCTTAAATTACTAGACAAAATTCTATTTGAAGTAAGATTTTTTTGGCCCTCCCAAAGTTTAATACAACTCCCACTTTTCCCAACCACCACAAATTGTTTTTTTTCAGAAAATTTTTAAGATAAAAATTTTTTGTACCCAAGCTCATGTTCATGGGATAGAAAAATTGCATGATTTTTCTTTATACTTTTGGGAAAAAAAAGCATACTTAAAATTTCTTATACAACAAAATCCAGAATGATAATTTGGCAGGATATTTCCCCTTGCTTCGGGGGATTATTATTATAATCTAAATGCTAAACTCACAAGGGTAATAAAACCCCAGCTCCTGGGGAACAGCCATTGTTTTAGGGAAAGGCCTTGCTTTTACTCCTTGGAGTAAACCACCAACCACATTTCCCCCGTTGCCCTTTTGGGTGCACCCTTTTCTTTTTTTCTATTTAACACCATTTTCATATTTGTGGCTTTTTTTCCTAACAATGTTTTTAAATTTCATGAAACCCCCAAAAAATTTTTTTTTGGTTTCCCACCAAAAAAAAAAAATTATTTCAAAACTGGAATTTTAAAATTTTTGATTTTACATCCACCGTCCTCGTCTCTGGATATTAACCATGACACTCAAAAAGGGAATACAAGTGATACTGG